GAAACTTTTTTTTTTTTTTTTTTTTGTGGGTAAACTCATGCTAGACCCGCCAATGAAATTTCATTTGATTTCAGCCGGTGTCTGCTACAAAATAGAATCATATGGAGCCAGATACAAGGCTGGAGAGCGCAATCCGTCCCGCGCGGGAGCACGCCCCACTTTAGATTTCACAAGGAATTACGCCGCGGCGCGTTGCGACGTCGGCACACGTCAGAGTCATTTGCAGCTCGCCTTGTCGGAAGGCGCTGCGGCCGCGGTCGCATGCAATCAGAGAGGCGGGCGTTCAAAAACAAAGCAGATGTGCGCCGCGTTCGGCCGAGCGAGGGGCACGCGAGGGACGGCCAAGAAAAGCTCCATCAGGGGAAAAGGGAAGCGGGGTTGTTCCCAAGACGACAAGTTGTCTCCGCGTCACACGCCATCTCTTCTCTGATTGGCTGGGAGAAGTCACACGGTTTTCCCGCATGTCGGCGCGTGGCTTCCAGTTTTGGATGCGTTGGTGTCTTGTCTAGAGCCACGACGCAAAAAAAAAAACAAAAAACCAACTATAAGCACTGTAACTTGTTTTCTGAGCAATCAGGTTCAGTGAAATTCAAAGCGTCCATGCATGAAACGTTGTGGAATGGTGATGCTCTTTGTCTGTTTGCAGTGGTGATGTTTTTGTTCCGTTGTTTTGCTGTCATGATTGGCCTCCATAAGGTGCACTGAAAAAAAATGGTGTGTTGTTTTAGAGTTTGAGCCCTGCGAGTCCCAGGGACTCTTGAAAATGGTCTTCTTATTCAATTGCATATGATAATCACACAAACGACAATTTCCATTGATAATGGGTTTATTTCTTATAAATAAACTCTGCAAACATTTAAATGATTCAGGCATACAAGATTATTATCGCAAAACACGATCCAACGTTCGCCGCTTCCTCTGTGATATCTCCGCAATAAACCTTTGCGACACTTGTTCGCAACGATCTCAACGAAGGCCGCCGATCTCGCCAATTTCGTCTCGCGAGAACGGAAATCTCGTCACGCGAGATCAAAACAACAATGGTGGCGATTATCCAACTGCGATCATTGCTGGAAAAAAATATTTACCATAGTTTTTTTTTTTTTTTTTGCTTTTTTTTTGTTTTGACTGAGAAATTTCCTTGCGTCCCAAAAACGCACATTATTTGGAACTGTGCGTCCGGCGGGAAAATTATGCGTCTAGGACGCGGAGGTAACGAGATGGCTTGTGTTGAATTGACTCAATTTTATTTCAGCAGTGGCTGCACAAAATAAAATCATCTGGCTCCAGATACATTTTGAAGTAGACTAAACCTTTATTTGACGTAAAATCACATTGAGCCAATCCATCAACAACTTTTTTTTTTTTTTTCAGTGTAGTGGCTGTCAGTAATAGCGAGCAAGAGGAGTCATCATGACTAACCGCGATACACACATTGCACGTGTGCAAGTTACGGTAAAGTGACGTGAAGCTTTTCTGACTAATTCCAGCAGTTATGTTAATTACGATTAGCGATGAGGCCGGTATGATGACTGAGTAATGAGATGAGCGATCACATGTACAATACATGTGACTTGATACAACAGCAGCGCAGTTTTGGCTTCATGTCGCGTGATGCAGCAATATTTAAAAAAAAAAAAAAAAAGAATTTGGAAGAAAAAAAAAACAACTCGCATCACATGATTGAACAGCTATGAGGAACGTCAGCGTTCTCCTCATCTGTCAGCCGCTTGTCAAGTCATCAGGAAATAATCGTTAGACTCCGAAGGTGCAACGCGTGGTGATGACCTGACATCCAAATATGCGGCGCCAAGGCCCGCGGGCGCCTCCTTTTTACAACCGACCGAATAGCCAAGCGGCAGGTAATTGCCGGCGAGCAGGTGAGCGGAATATCTGGCGGTGTGCAGCGGTTAAGTGCGGACGTTGAAACAATGCCGTCCGTCAAGCCGCGCTCAGCCGAGAGCGTGACAAATGAGACGTTAATGTGCTTTGTGATGTGTGGGAAAAGGAAGACGCGCGCGCGCAGGTGTTACCCGCGTTAAAGAGGAGGACTTTTATTTGCATGGAGGCAAATATTACAATATTGTGGAAAACTTACATTTGGAATGCTTTTCAAAAGTCAAACGTTATGTCCGACGCGAAATGGAGAAGTGTCATTTGTTGGCTTGATGAGCGAAACTAAATTCTGCTTTTGCATTTTTGTGCTTTCGACTGTCTCCATTAGTCATTTATTGTTTTATTGGCGGTTGCTGTATGAATTTTTTTGCTCCAGGCGCAACACTTTGTCGACAGCGGTGGTTGTTTTTAGGGCTCTCGAAATGCAGTTGAAGTGGGTTGAGCAAATCATCTCTCTACAGGGCCAGTGCCAGTTCTGGCAACGGCGTCATCCAAAACCGGTTCATGTAGGATTCTGCTCTGCCCTTGTTGTCACGGTAACCGAAGCCCAACTCTCCGCACTAGAGCGGGTGGGCTGAGCAGGATCCTCTTTTGATTTCAGGGAAGTTTGACAGTTGTTGGAGGAGAGAAAATAATGTTAAAAGCATTCCAAATGATTTTTTTATGGATGACATGACTTTTTAAATATGTCTGAATATATTTGAAAAATACATCTGGCCAAAATGTTGCATTCTGTGCTTTTACGCCTTGTCAATAAATTCCTAAAATGGCGACATTGGAATATTTTTCCCCCTATAAAATATTGAACCATTACTGTTCTAAGGATGCTGTCAGTGTCGACATTTACACTCGTTGCGCCAGAACACGAGGCACACCTGCACAAGTTAACCAATATCATAAAGTTGCCTTTGCAGCCATTTCCGAAAAGTGTCATTCGGCTCTCGGGTGCGCCGAGTGTGTGCAGTATGCCATCCATTATGGAGTGTGGGGGTGGGGGGTGGGGGTGGGGGTGCGCGCAGAGCCACGGGGCTCCAAGGACAACTGTCAAATGTTTCGGGCCTGTGAACTCATGCTAATGAAGGCAGCTCCGGCCTGTAAACAGCATGGGAGGATGTCACCGGAATACATTACAATACATAACTGTCTGCCTGGGGGCAGGTGGGAAGGAGGGAGGGGCACACGGACGGACGGACGGACGTGAGACCTCTCTTTCCTGAAGAAAAACAGCTCCGCAAATATAACGACGTGCAACAGGAGAATGTCGAGAAGTCAAAATGTTTCATAAAGTTGAACGAAGCTAAATGTGACGGGCGTGCATTTTGCGTGTTAGTACGTCTTTGGGCGTGGGGGCGTGGCCGAGTCAGTCGGGTGAGGGTCGGTGTCTTCTGCGCGCTCCTTGTGCGTGTTCTCATTTTGTATTTGTGCATTTTACCGCTTGTCCCGTTCAATCGATGGCTAAAAGCGCGCCAGTGAGTGTGGCCCTCCTTTTTTTGTTTTTCACTTGACGCTAGCGTCGTTGTAAGCTTGTCGGTTGAGGCGCTCTTTGCTGTGCAAATGGTTTCAGATATTTGTCATTTGTTTCGGGCTTTATTTTCCAGACGTTTTACTTGACGTTTGAAAAGAGGGCTAGCTACTCTTTGCTCCTGACTTTGTCCAAATTTGACATGCTAATACTGTGCCGCCACGCTAGCCTTGCAATTTTATGCTTGTACAATTTTTCTTTTTTATTGTCCCTCATACCTCAAATGCATTGTCTTGTGTTACACATGAACTAGAATTGCATTCTAGCCAGCCAAGGACCAAAAAAAAAAAAAAAAAAAAAAACTGCTGAGGATCAACGTGACAAAGTGAGTCAGTAAAGAGATGTGAGTCAGGAATGCGACTGTTTTCAGGTCAGTGAGCTCAACATTCTCAGAGAGAGAGAGAGAGAGATGAAGAGGGGGTGTGTGAATCAAGTAAAGCAGGCCAAAGTTTGCGCTAGAATGATCCGCTGTCTTTGCCCCTTTTCAGCCGCATCGGAGAACAAAACAAAGACAGAAAACAAAAACCCCAAACTGAACGCGTAGTGTCGGCTTCAGCACGCCTGCCACCCTCGCGAGGAGAAGCGGGCTCGGATCAGATATTGGCTGGACGGAAGGATGTATTCAGCACGACACATTAGAATTGTCTCAATGGGAAATCTGGGCCTATCACAAGATTTCCAGCCCAATTTCCCACTGAAAGACATCAGATTTTGGAATGTTCTTCATTTCAAGACTCAAGAATAAAATACTGCATTTGTTTTTGCTTGATTTGAACCACTGCTGACTTAGTCCTGTAAAAAAAAAAATGTGGACAGGACTCCTCTAATATACAATATTCACGTGAAGTGCAACAACAACAAAAAAAGGAAAACAACACCCCCATTCCCACGCCCCGACTGCAGTTCAGCTCCCGTTTGAGAAGCCCGACAGCCGTCACGCGGCGTGCCGTTGCGTGCGCTACCTTGGAGAGATCTCGGAAGTTAGCGGGCAGGGTGAGGTCCAGCTCCTGAGAGTCGTAGCTGGCCAGCACCCAGGGGAAGAGCGGGTAGCGGTTCAGGTCGTTGTACGTCCTGCCTGGACACAACAAAGCGGAGAGGCGGCGTGTGAGTGACGAACGGCCGCCGAGCCGGGGTGAAAGCCGGGACGCGGGCCTCGCCGCGGGGATCGGCGGGCCGCATTCCGACGGGCCCCGCAAATCTTGGCGCCCTTAACCAGACGCGCTATATGAGAACGCTCGGCACTTGCCCGCCTAGCAGGGAAGCCGCGCACGGGCCCGGGGTCGACCTCGGCCCGGCACGTCTGCTGGTTTTGATCCGCCCGGCTTGCCAGATGTGAGTCGACGCGTCCCGCGCTGGCAGCCGCAACATGGCTTTCAGATGGCAAAACGTGTCGGAAGAAATGTGTGGGAAGATGCAGGGAACGTGTTTTCACTTGTTTGGTCGAGACGCGCAACAGCTGCGGGGTCAGGAGTGAGCTGTCATCCGCAAGACTGTACGGACACTTTGGCGGATTGATTTTGGAGGCCAATCATGACAGCAAGTCGAAACAATGCGCGTTGAGCCGTTTCCAGTTGAAAATAGACCGCGGGGATTGTTGGATCGGGACACGCGGCCAGCAGGCAAGCTTCGCGTCCCCTCATCTGTCGAAACCCGAAACTAAAAAGAAAATAGAAAAAGAGTGTGAACTGTAAATCCAATGCACGCCCTCAAAACAGAAAAATCACGGTTTCTATTTTCACTCATGGAGGCAGCACTTCATCAATTAGCTTAGCTCTTGGCTTCGGCCTGTTCCAGCGTCTGCGTAGATGCTTGAAAATGCCGGATCTTCACCCACCCTGCCGAGCTGCCATGTAATAGGCGGGGGGGCGGGGGATGATGGTGTTGGGGGGAGGCTCCGACAACACTCGCTCACAGACACACTTTGGCTGCTAAACTTTGCACTTGTAGGGTTGGCGGGCACTCCAGCGAGACATTTGTATTTGTATACAAGCAATGACACCATATTTCCTCTCATATTTCCACTTGAACATTCTTGTACACTTAACTCAACTATGATAGGCAATGATTCCGTGACGCTAATGAATTAGCGAGGAAAAGGTTACGATTTTTTTAAAAGGTGACATCAAAGTTCTATAGAGTTTGGAAGCATCATCGCCACTAAGAAAAAAAAAAAAAAAGAAGCGCCGCGTCATTAAGGCGTCGGCGTAGCAAGAGTCGGGGTGTCAGGATGTTAATAATAGCGGAATAGTGGTTAATTAGAAGAGTGCGTCCCCTTCGCACCTCTTTCCGGCACTTCTTCACCCCCACAGCCCAACTGTCTGCTTTTTTCCGCCGCCGCCTCCTGACGTGCCTGTCAGCCCGGGTCATTACCGGGGGATTTTTTTTTTTTTCTTTTTCATTTAATGAATTTCCTGCATGTTTTTCCCTCCATCTTGCCTTTGCGTCTAATTAGCTGACAATAATGTATCGAAGGAGCCGAGCGCCGATGCTAAATATAAATATGCATGAACGCGGCGGCGAGACGCCGGCGTGACACCTCTCAGAGCCGACGAGCGGCGCGGCGCGGCCTGGCTCGCCTTCCCTTGTTCGCTTCACTTCAGATCAGAGAGGAGACTGCCGAGCCTCTCCAATCCACACTCGTACGCTCTCGACGAGCCTAATTAGCCGGACGAGTGTGCGCTTCAAACGGCTCTCAACTAGCGTCGACGAAGACCACTTAAGGACGAGGCAAAGAAACCGGGCCGCCGCCGCGTGGCACTCCTTCTGCGACGTCGCCAGTCACCGCACTCCTACGCCGAAGATGAACATAATTGCTTTCAACATTAAGCTTTCCGTTCTGATAAAATCTCTTCCGCGATAGGCCGAAAATGAGTCCAAATCAATGGAGTTGACTGACGGCAACAACATGAATACGCGTGCAAAACTACAGTCGCAATTAAGTGTCCACATCAGGTGGGGACGACGCAGAAGGAAGATATGCATTTTGTGCTTTTTATTTTTATTTTTTTCGGGTTAAACCAATCCTATCTACATAGGCTTCTGAAACAAGGCTCGAAATAAGTGCTTTTACATGTCCTTGTATGTTGCGCCTCATCAAAACGCATTGAAAACTGAGAATCAACCGCCAAAAGACACGAAAAGTAGAAGAAATGGCGAAATAGGTGTTCGCTTGTATCGCGCTTTTCCACCGACAAAGCACTCATGGGCTTCACGCAGACTTCTCATTCATGACATAGCATCAGGAGCAACTGGGCGATGAGTCATCTTGCTCAAGGACAATTCGACATGGTCACAAGGGATCAAACCAACAACCGCTCGGTTGGGAGAACAACCCCTGTAATGAGTAACAGATCCCAACGCGGTCCTTCTTACCTGCGATGGTGTTGAGGAACATGAGGTACTCAAAGTTGGAGATCTCTCTCCTCTGCCAGCGCTGCGTCATGTTGGATGACTTGAAGAGCTGCCGAGGGCTGGCCAGCGAGACCCGCCTGGAAAAGAAGACGTACGGGCGGTTTTCAAACGTGCCATTTCGAAACCTGAGAGTGTGTATTCAGTTGCGGGGGAAGCTGGGACGTGACCAAAACGCCGAGCTTTGTGTCATGTCTGGCACGGGTTTAACATGCGCTACGTCCGATGACTCAGCACTTCATCAATTAATGAATCAATCAGGGTTTGGATTTGAGCCCTGAGGTCTTAATTTGTCATTTTGGCAAGACATTTTGTACAATCGTACGCTTTGCGGAAACACATTGGGAAAGGCCCTTTTCTGTTGCCAAGTGAGGTCCACAAGGTCACGCTTGGATGAGAACGCTGCGGAAGAACAAGCGCAGCAGCAAAACACCTTGGAAATATCTCTTGAGGATATCAAAACTTTTTTTTTTAATAGGTTAAAAATGAATGGCGACATGACAAAATGAAAGATGTACATAGATAGAGGTAGTCAAGTGCAGCTGAGAGCTTGGGGACATAAAAAAAAAAAAAAATTGACAGCAATGACATGGAGGAACGTTAACCGAGGCGCATTAACGTGGCGATGACTTCAAAGACGCAACATATTCCCCAACAGGGGCCTTATTAAGAAGACTTGACATCCGTACCATACTAATTCCCTGCCAACCATTTTCGAAGCAGTTTCCAATATTGCCAGAGCATTTTTGATCTTCCAAGAGCCAGGTCATATTTGCACACAGTCTACCATAACACAGACTAGACTCTCTTATTTCGCACAAAAAATTTTTATGATCTTTTGTGATTAGCAGTGGAATAAAATTTAAAAAACACCAGTTTCTGACCAAAAAGCAGAGAAACGAGCTTTCGGAAAATAATCTTTTCTAATTTTTTCTTCTTTTTTTTTACCTTTGTGACACCTTCAACTGTAGAAAAAACAAAACAAAACAAAAAAACACAAACAACAAGACTGAAAAAGGGCATTGGATGCCAAAATAGTCAATTATTCACAACTATTAGTGGCTTTTTTTTCCACGTGCGTTGGTCAAGCTGGGTGAAGCCCTTTCCAAGCCGGCAGATTGGCAAATACAGTATAGACGGCATTTGCGTTGCTTGGTTTCCAGTTGACAAATATAGAAATCCATAGTCATAGTCTGTACTTTTTGACTTTTACTCAAGTATAGCAGTCAAATTAGAACTTTCTTTTTATATACAACTATGTGTACTTCTACTTAAGCAGAAAAATGTTTGTACATTTGCCACTTGTTTTTTTTTTGTTTTTTGCATTGCGGATGAGTCAACGTCATGGTTGTAGCAAGAGCAAGCGTTGGCAGGAACTCTGTGGTCAGCAGGCTGTCAGCTAGGTCACCCTGGCCGAGGGTCAGCGCACAAGAGTAAGAGTGTGCGACGGAACAAGTTCAAGGCTAATGCTCAACAAAAAAAAAAGCCAAGCATCAGGACTTGCCAGAGAGTGCACTAGCCCACCTGTCTTGTGGGAGTCCATAGCTGGTCCCCACTCCGACTCGAGGAAGACTATGGACCGCTTTCTTCACTGTGGACTGGTCAGGGAAGTTAAACAGGACAGATGCTGTGAACGCACACACAAAAGAAAAACATTTTACCCTTCTAGAGCATTCTATTCTATTTTGGGTTTTTTGGTTGCGTGTTCGATGAATATCAGCCCAATTTATTTATTTATTTATTTTTTTATAAGTGAGTCCCTAAATTATCCTAAAATGACATCATGTACAAAATTCCCTTTTGTGTTGTCTCCTTTTTTTTCTTCCTAATTTCAAGCTGGCATGTTTAAACTCCCTCTAGTTAGGACCCTGCATTTAGTTAAGGCACCCGTCTGGGCACCCTTGAGAGCAGAGGACCCCAGTTGTTGTGATTCACTGCAGTCTATGTGGGGCACAACACAAACATAAGCACTGAAATTCGGTCTTGAAGAATTACATCTGTTTTCTGTCTACACAGTGCTAGATTGATATTATTGAGTCAGTATTTACCTGTGTGGATCATTTTTCTTATTTTTGTAAAGGCCTAAATTCAGCGGTTAAGCTAACAGTAGCCATTCTGTGTATGGGAAAGAGAATGCGATGTACATCGAAGATCATACGGTGTATGTTGTATTCTATTGGCTAGATTTATCAGCAGTTATTTGTTTTTTCCTGCACCTTTATGCTGACAGCGACCCTATGTGTATTACTTTTCGACACAAACCATTCATCACAGCTCTTGTTTGTATATGCCAGAAAATTCGACATAAAACCCACCATAAAATGCCAAAGGGCATCATTCTTTAACAACTCTCTGACCTCAACCCCCTTTGGAATATACGGTTCCCACTTTTACTGAAGCCTGTGTACTGAGTGTACTGAATACTGTGTACATGAAAATGACGTACTTCTATTGGCCATGAAGACCTCCACGGCTGTGTTCTGCAGCAGGTGACACCTGGAGAATACGGCGCGGATTTCGCTGAACATCCACTTCCCATGCAGACCTTCTGTGTACGCCAAAACCTGAGCCGGGACACATTTTATGGCGCTTAGCAACTCAGTCTGACTTTTGCTACCTTAAAGGAGAGCTTATGTAAAACAATGAGAGCCCATTAAGCCCCCGCCAGAACTCCACCATACAAAATGTACATGCACATGAAATCCATTATTTTAATGTGACAATGGATTTGTGAGTTGGCTGAAGCTTGGTCCTGAATCATCCCTTAATTGTCCCGCCGCTTGGCCAAGACTACTGGGGGGATTTCCCATCATACAACTAAATCCGCTCTCTGCGGGCCGAACTATTCAAGGAGTATGGATTTCAAATCTGCTTTACACAAAAAATGTGGAAGATTTATGATGAATTTTTGCAATTCGGAATACAAAAAAAAAAAAAAAATTATGTTTTAACCATCAAGTGTCTGCACAAAATAAAATCACCTGGATGCAAATCCATGACTTAACTAGATTACTGCATTTGGACCCATTCCAGGCATTCCCAAGTGAACCCCATGAGGTGTGTGACACATTAAGGGGAAAACAAGCGCCCCCCTGCCCCTCCCCCGCAAAAAATCAATAAAAACATTGCATTGAAGGCCGAGGTGGCAGACGACAAAAGGACGGGAGCCGCAGGGCCGCGCGTACCGAAAAGTACGCCAATTGTTCTGACAGGTGAGAATAGGCCCCCCTCGCAGCGCCCCCGCCTTTTTCCATCTCGCTTCCCTCCGAACAATTTTATCCCGCGGCGACCTCATCAGCTCTCCCGGGTCGTCGCGGTGCCATCTCTTGCGAGGCATGGTGTGAAAATAAAGACAGAGCGCTAACACTGACGGCCAGGTGTGCGTGTACACAACCGTGTCTCGCAACCTTTATGGGGCGGTGCAAAAATCTCACAGCATGCCATAAGAAAACAAGGGGAAAAAAAAGTATTTACATCACATTGACATTTTTGAAGGTATCTCTACTTGAGTATTTTGGAGAACTTTTTCCATGCACTTCCTACATTTTCAAACACTTTCTTTGTCAAAATAAGCTGTGATTGTTTTTAACGTCCGTGGATGATGACGCCGTTTTTTTTCAGTTACCAGTGCCGTGCGCTGCAGGTACGTAATGAAGAGTAAGAATTAGGGGTGTGCCTCTCTCCACCAGGGACGATTCAATACGATTCTCCACACGTGGTATAATCCGATTCAAGGGTGTCACCGTTTTAAGATGTCGCCATTCGTTTCGATTCAGGCACGTTGGTTGGCAATCATGCACTCAAATAAGTCCGTAGATCTGACTGCATGTAAAGCACGAGAGCGAGCCGTTCGGCTCGATCAGGTCTGACGCGAATACTCATTGCAAAATATAGAGAGCGCCGGCGGTGTGCAGCAGGGAGCGCGTGCCCGCCGCCTTAATTTCTCCACGGAATAGCCGGCCGGCCGACCCCGCCGCCGCCGCCCGGCTCTCTGGAGCTCAATTAAAATTGGATTAGATGAAGATAGCGGATGTGCAAGCGCCGCATCCCTCAACTGATGCTCCCCTCCAGGGTAATGCCCCCTCCTCATTTGACACCTCTGCAAAGCACCACGACACAGCATCCCCCACCCTCTCCCCCAACTCAAACAGTTGTCATAGTGACAGCGCGGGCCTAGAGGAGGGGCCAGGGGTTGATTGCTACGAGAGGACGGCAGGTGAGGGTCGTTTTTTTAAGCCCCCTCCTCATCCTTCTTTGCTACGTCCAGATGTTGGGGAGGGGGAGGGGGCAAATCTGCTGTGTACAATGTCCAAAGGCATCATGGGGAGGTTTGAACAGCTTGTCAGGTGAGATGTGGCATTTCCATGACCGTATTTGGGCGTCGCAGTCCACTCTTTTAGCGCTTCCTCATTCAACAACAAAAACTTTGTATTCAACTCAAACACATTTGCAGTCAATGGATCGACTGCGAGGACAGTTTGGCGAGAAAGCATGTCTGCGTCACAGTTCTGAGGTTTTGCGTTCGAAAATGTTTGCGAGAATTAATAAACAGCAAAATAGCTTCATGAACATATTCCATTGGATGGATTCCTTTTTTTTTTTTTCTTTTGAAAATTCAGACCTGAAGACAGTTTCCAATCTTGAGATTTTGGTGGGTGTGTCCATCATGAGCAAGTCCACAAAGAAGTCTCGGCAAGACTGAAAACACAGTTTTACAATTATTTCTCGGGTTTGTTAAAGCACCAACGAGATCTGGAGATTTTGTCCAATTGCTTCTACATTTGAACAGTGTGACCTCGAAATGTGACATTTGGGAGGCGTGTCTATCATGAGTAGGGCCACAAAAAAGTCTCAAGAGGTTATACCTGAAAAGACACAGGAAGTCATTTTTGGACTCAAGTAGCCATTTTGGGACAAACTTGTCCTCAATATATTGTCTGATTGCTATTAAATTTGGACAACTTATTCTAACCGGACTACTTTAGCAACCGTTCCTTATTAACACACACACACGCACACACACACACACACACACACACACACACACACACACACAAAAGTCATGTTTCATAGTTTTCCATGCGGTTTCTTTCGGACCACTGCCCTGTCCAAGTGTACATTTCTGTGGCGTGACAAAGCGCAGGCCAAAGGGCGAGCTGTCAACAAAAGGGAGGCTAAAGACCAAGCGAGGGAGGGAAGGGGGCGGGGGGAAGCTGATTTCAAACAGCCTCAATCAGAAGATTTGTCATAACAACAAAGCTTTTCGGGCTCGAAAGCAAACGCACGGCGGCCCCTCCCTCGCCATGTCGACTCGGAGCATTGACAAAGCCCAGCGCTGATGTGTGTGTGTGTGTGTGTGTGTGTGTGTGTGTGTGTGTGTGTGTGTGTGTGTGTGTGTGTGTGTGTGTGTGTTTTTTCTTCAGGAGGCCCAGCTGTAAAAAATGCCATTTAATGAACCTGTCTGCCGAAGCCGTCCCCTGCCTGTCAGAGGTGTCAGCCGCTGACGAGCGCTGGGGACGGCCGCCTCCAGTCACAGACAGGCCTGCCAGCTGGAGGCTTCGGCCCCAATCTAATCACGCCACCAGGAAGGGACCGGCGCTCTGCTCTTGGTCTGTCACGCTCAGGGCTGCGGGAGGGAGGAGAGGAGCGGCGTGGGCGCTCGATGATGGAACGGGTGAGGTGGGGGTGGGGGTGGTGGGGCTGCCGCCCAAGCCTTTTGTTTCCGCACAGGTCCCCGCCGCGCATGCGCCGGGCGGCTGGGAGACACACAAGGCTGGCCCGCCGTGCACGTGACGCAATTCAACATGGCCCGCCTCTCCTTCCTGACTCGACAGAAGCATCACAGCCACGCAAAAGCGGAAGCCACGCCACAGACCTCGACCCCAAAAGGTAGCCGGGCCGTTCCGCCCAATCGCCGTCATTTGTGTCTTCGAGAAACAAAATCTCCGCACGCGTGACGGAATGAGCTGTGAAATCGGTTGCCTCACCCGAGCAAAGAATCCCGCACAGCGATTTGTTTGCATAGTTCATCAATACAATAGAAACCACCGTGCACACTGGAAAAATAGCTGTTCCTAAAATTCGATTTTGAACCCTGGAGCAATGTTCTATTTTATACGAGTGTTACCCCAACCAGGGTTGTCATCGTTTGGGATTTTTTTGGGGGGGGGGTGTTTTTATTAGTTTTAGTTTTCTTTTTAGAATATGGGCTATTTGCTGAGGGCGGATGGGAAAACAAAACTATTCATCGTGTCCCGGGGTTGTCACTCATTCCGACTCTGAAAATTCGAAATATTCCACAAGTCACACGGTCACCAGGACGTTGCATCGTTGAGATCCTTACAAAGGCCAAACCAAAGTTTTGTCATTTATTTTCTGTCGATCCGATGACAACTGTGCCGCCTGGGGGTTATGTTGCTCCTGTTATCTTTGTTGTTTGGGGGAATTTATTACTTTTCAACTACAATTTCTCATTGAGTCCGATGCGCTTAAGCATAAATACTCAAGTAACCACGGTTTGAACCTTTTCTTCGCTCTTTTTTTCCCTTCTATTTGCAGTCTGGCTCGATCTCGATCTGACTGCACTTTTCCTCGGGTGCCGCCGTTTCGTTTAGCCCGGAAGCGAATCTGCCGCCCGGCCTTTTATTTCCCCTGCGCGCACGCGCCGCCAACACATCGGCGCCGCTCTCTCTCTCTCTCTCGTGCCCGTCATGCAATTTGCCATCCTCCCGTTCGCCTTTGCGACTTGACGTCGGGCGACATCACCGCCACGCAAAGCGGAAGCGCCGCGGCGGACGCGATGAGGAGGCGGCGCGCAGGTGACGCCGGCGTTTGAACCCGTCTGCGCCAGCCTATCAGACTTTCAAACGCCGGGCGCCTAACGCGCAGAGAAGGGACTCTAATCACATGTGACTGCCCGGCGGCTTCGACTACACATTGGCTGAGACGCCGTGATGGATGTTATTAATAAATCGAAACGGGGGTTGTGGAAATCCGCCTGCAATGGTCTGCATATTTTCCTCCTGAATGGGAGAATAATACAATTGGGCGTGACGGATATATTTATACGGGTTGAGTGGAGCGGTGTGACAGAGGGCATCTCGGTACTCGCTCACTCTGCAGATTTGTCTAATAGGCCCGGTCCCGTGATGGAAGAAGGAGGGCGGGATTACCCCTTAGACCCCTTTTCCATTGTACCGGTTCGAACCCGAAACAGCCCGGTTCCATCCTGTGCGATCACTTTTCCGTTACCCATTGGTGCATCCGTGTGGTTACAATGGAACCTTTCTTGAGAACCTCTTCCGACCTGGTTCTAGAATGCAGGATGACATCGCTGTCATCTGATTGGCCGCATTTTCTTAAGCGATCCGCAAGGAACTCTATAGCGCATGCCCATTTCCTGGTTTTAAGCAAGCGCCACGTCTTCAAAATACAGGACACATATATTGCGTTTTACAACAGTACTTAACCATATGTAGAGGTGGATGGAATAAGTGAGCTTGCAGTTAAAATGTTCACGAGCCACGCACACCTCACCAGATGTCATTTAATTGAATGGGGTGAA